AAAAAAAAAAAAAAAGAAACTAAGGCTAGTGGGCCAAGTCTAGCTTGGTTTTATATATAAATTTTCACTGAAAAATAGCCATAGCCCTTATTTCCATACTATCTATGGCTGCTTTTGAACTATAATGGCAGGGCCTGAGTAGCTGTAACAGAAATCGTATGATTCACAAAGCCTAAGTTATTTATATAATCTGGCTCTTCATAGAAAAGGTTTGTCAGTTCTTGGTCTAGTCCTTGATGTGCAGGGGCGAGTGGCAGTGGCAGTAAAGCAAGGTTTTCTCATACTGTAGTTTCTCCTGGCTGTGATACTACTTGCTCTACAGCAGCTTCTAGCTTGGTTCCCTGGCCCCTCTATGAATTTTACAAACTACTTCAAATTGTGCAATACTGTCGTAGAATGGGACTGACATCAGAGTTGGGGTAAGACTGAGGAAAATCTGGATAGATAATGTACACTGCATTGAAACAGATGAGGGAGAGAACAGTTTAAAAGCAATACATGATAGGGTACTATGGTTATCACAGGAATCCAGAATTAAGGTTCCATAGTGCAATGCATTCAGGGCAGGAGACAGGGGATTGTCTACCAACGAAGAACTCTATCTTTCGCTTTTCGAAGACAGGAGCAAACTGGGGGGAGGAGGGGGGTAGAGAAAAAAGTGCAACAATGAATGAATGGAAATCCAAAATCTCTCTAAATGTTCATTAAAATTAATAAAAAAAACCTTGTATAATAAATCCCTTTCTGTTGAAAATAACTAAATCCATTCTTGTTGCTGCAATTAAGAACCTTGAGTGCAATACAGAAGAACAAAAACAAATAATTAGGCCACAAGTTTAAAAAAAAATTACTTACATTATGTGTCATCTCGAAGTATTTCTGACATGCTACCTGGTAATGTGTCCCCTTTACTAAATCCAAAATCTAAAATGAATGAGAAAGAAAAAATTAGAAATTAAGCATCTTGTTGTTGGCCTTTCACCCTCTTCATTCCAGACAGAAAAATGCATTAAATCATGTAGCATGTTAGACTTCTGCAGCTTGGACACTGATAATTTTGACATTATACAGTAGCTCTTTAGGTCAGCACAAAACCACAGATGACAAGAGATAGTAAGTGATCTTTCTGACCTATCAACTGCGAATTTCAATAACTTTATCTCAGCAACAAGATGAAAGTAGATCCCAGCATGAAGGCTTTGACAGTTATTGTCAGAACATCATATAGCAACATCGCTTCCAAAATTATAGATATAAATCTAGGAACCTAAGTGGCTGGTGCATGAAGCAATCATGCAATGCTATTTAGATTTTTAGTTTTCACATTATCAATTTATAAAATACTGCTGTGTACCCAACAAGAAAATTTAATGTAAGCCCTTGAAAGGAGTATCTGTGAAGAGGGAATGCTTTCCCCTTCAATCAGATTTGTCCTTTTTTGAAATGACGTTATTTCTAGTAAAGCTCAGCAGAGTACGAGAGTGAACAGTCTATTCTGAACACCTATTAGGAACATCATCCTATCTTTTTGTAAATACAATTTGCTTTCCAATTCTACTTTATGTAATCTCTTTGGAGCGGTGCAAACTCCCATTCTTATCAACAGAGTGCAATGCTAGTTGAAATTTGTAAAGTTTCATCACCTTTTCCTTTCAAAATAAATAAAATGTATACTTGGCCTGTTTATCAAACACAGTAAAATGCTGGAAATAAGAGATAACCTGAAATGAAGAGAATCACAATTCTGGAGAAATGTTAATTTCTATTCCTTTTTTAAAGATAGACCTTTTCTGTGACAAACAAAAATGTACGTGATGTTCCGGCTTTCCTCATTATTGAATATAGCCTTACATCTTTTGACAGGCACACAAGTAAATTACAGCTGCAGGATGGGAATCATAAAATGCTGACAAGTATGTGCTTTAAAAATTGTTTTCTTGATTGTTTTATAGATCAAATTTATATGTACTATTTCACCTTTTGTTAAATCTTATATGAATGACATATGTAAATGTCAACCAATCACAGCACACAGCATTCTGTGTCTTTCCTTGAATTACTATTGGAGGGGTGGGTGCTGGGGAGAGAATGAATGGAAGTATAAAAAAATAAAGAAAATACTTTGAAAACTATTCTAATAATTTTGTGCTCATATTTTCCAATGCTTTTACAAATAATCAAATTGAGTTGAACTTAAAAAAATAACTACCAGTAAACATCACTAATAATAATACCAGTGAATTAGAATTTTGAGGAAGCATTCCAACGACAATTAAAGCTTAAAAATGAAGCCGTAAATTATTGAAAGACAAAGTGAGTTCATACACAGGCACAAAAGCTCAACTGTGTGGTTTATAATATGTTCCCTTTCTGTAAAAACAAAGCAATGAATTAAAAACTTATTCTTTATGGTTTTGTTTTATACTTAATATGTAAGTAAATAAAATAAAATAGTAAAAAACTACTTAAGATAATTAAAAATTTTTATAGTAGTAGATTGACAGAGAACTGGAAGAAATTTAAGAGGATTCAAATGAAGATGCAGAACAAAGAAAAACATTGCAAATGTCTGGTGGATCTTGGCTAAAAACTGATTATGTAGAACAAGATACTTTATTGGTTATGCGAAGGCATTCAACTGTGTGAACCACAAAAAACAATAAAGAAGCTGGATTACATGAAGAAGTACATGGAATCAAAACTGGAGGAAGATACATAAATAAGCTGAAATAATGACAGAATTTTGGACAATGATTTCTTCACTGCAAATACTTCTTTAAAAAACAAATGGCAACTATATACATGAGTGCACTTGATAGACTACATAGGAGTAAGACTGACTATATCTGAAGAAAGAGTTGACGGAGAAGTTCAAATGAGGACAGAGCTGACTCTAGAATAACGTGCGCATTTTCTAAGAAAATCTGCTAAACAACAAAAATGTTCTTTTAAACACTAAAGTGTCCTTGACTCAAGCCATGGTATTTTCTTTTTTTTTTTTTTTTTAATGCGTGTACCGTCAAATTGGATCTGACTGGTACAGGAGGCGATTGTTCCTCCTTCTTCAGCAGAGCATCTGGTGGATTTGAACTACACACCTCTATTGCTTCAGAAGCCTGTGGAAATTGGACAATGAATCAGGAAGACTAAATAACTGAAGCCATTGAATTGTGGTGTTGCCAAAGAATAGCAAATATATCACGAAATGTCACAAGAACAATAACAAGAAACTGTCTTAGAAGATGTGTAGCCAGAGTGCTCCTTAGAATCAAGTATAGTGAGACTCCATCCTCACACATTTTGGGATGACTTACTGAAGAAGGAAAACATGATTGGAAAGGTAGTGAGTCAGTGACAGAAAAGAAGACCCTCCATGAGATGGAATGGCTTAATGACTGCAACAATGGACTGAAGTAGAGCAGAGCCTGTAAAGATAACAGAACAGGCCAAGGTTTTTATCTACAGTTCACAGGAGTACAATGAATAATCTACAATTGACTTGAGAACTCTTAACAACAACAACAAAGAGTTCCCACAATGGCATGATCCATTTCCTTTAAGTATATTGCTGTATGTGTACTTTGGTCTTTCCTAGTACTACTATAACAGAAATACCATAAATGGGTAGCTTTAACAAATAAAAATATATTTTCTCATTGTATAGGAGGCTGGAAGTACTAATCCATGGTGTTGCCTTTAGGAAAAAGTTTTCTTTTTCTTTCTATTAGTTCTGGGAAAGGAACTTGTTTGTGTACTTTTAAGCTTCCAATTCGTGGTTTTATGAATATAGTTTGGCACCTATATTCCCTCAACAGCCTTTGCTTTACTTGTCCTTTTATATCTCAAAAGAGCATAATTTAAGATACACTCTATACTAATCTTATCACTCAAAGCATTGTACTTTATATTCTATACTGAAATGTTCATTTAGACTATGAATGCAACATCACTCTTCCTCAATTTATCATTCCTGCATAATAAATCATATGATTACTTGATAGAAAATGGCCAATACCAGTTCATCTCAGCTCACTAATGCCTAGGGTATCTATCTCTCTGCGTTTCATTTCATTTTTTATAACTTTCAATTTTATAGTCAAACTTTGTATATTCTATGTTCCAATTATTAACAAATATTTGTGGCTATTTTTTTTCTCGTTTTTTTAGCACTTTCCAAACCGAGGAGATCACCTTCTGGCATTTTATGTAAAAATATTCCTATTATTTATAAGATTTTCTAAAATCAGCTATTTCAGCAGTGGATGGCAAGTCTTTCTTAGTCTGTAAGCTCTGATGAAATCAGTCCATCATTGGTAACCTTGCTGGTACTTGAAATACTAGCTTACAGCATTTTCACAATATGAAAATCAACCCCCATATAGTAAATTGATGGACAAGTGCTTTACCCATAAAAGCAAATTATAATCAAGCATAAACATACAAAAATTATAAAAATAGTAGCATCACGTACCTATAAGGTACAAATACCTATAAGGTACAGGCAAGGTTACACATATAAAACCAACATGCATGCTCTGAGAAATACAAAATAAACTGTATGGCCAAGGGCAGTGTATCTGTAAGATTAGCAGAAGCCGGGAGTTGGGGTTACCAAGGCTCCAAGAGGTGAGTCATTTCACAAGTAGCACCTCTTCTGGTTTGTAGTGTGTGATGGATGTTTCAAGGGTGGGACACTCAGCCTGAGGCAGAGTTTTTGCTAGCTTCAGAGGAGCCTTGGCTAGTCAGCTTGGCCAGAGAAGGTTATCTTTGTCATTCCAGGGGACTGGATTACCTGATGGTCTACACAGGAATCAGATTGGTTACATTTGTGAAGGGGGGGGAATCTCTGGAACAGCTCAGTACCAGCTGTGAAAACTAGGCCAGGCATTGGTTGTGAAGCAGACCATCAACTACTCATTCAAGTTCAAACTGAAGCTGAAGAAAATCCAATCCAATCCACAAAAAACGAAGACCACAAGTCTATTCCACCAGAATTTAATGACCATCTCAAAAACAAGTTTGAGGTCTCAAATGAGTGAAAACCTGATGAACTGTGAGAGGATATAAAGAATATCATCTATGAAAAAGGCAAAAAGACATTACAAAGACAGAGGAGAAAGAAAAGACCAAGATGGATGTCAGAAGAGACTCTGAATATTGCACTAGAGCAGTGAGAAGCCAAAACAAATGGAAGAAATCAAGAAGTTAAGGAGCTAAACAGAAGATATCAAAGGGTAACTCAGGAAGACAAAGTATTATAACATAATGTGCAAAGACCTGGAAGAAAATAAAAAGGGACAAACTTGTTCAGCATTTCATAGGTTCAAGGAACTGAAGAACAAGTTTAAGCCTTGAGTTGAAATACTTAAGGATGCTGAGGGCAGATTTTTTAATGACCCAGGAAGCATCAAAAAAGATGGATAGGAGCACACAGAGTCACTATACTAAAAAAAAAAAAATTAGCTGACAGAAGAATTTCAAGGGAAAACATATAATCAAGAAGCAATGGTGAGGAAGGAGGAAATTCAATCATCAATGAAACACAGATAAACATTCTTCTGGCTCTTTCTGCTTTCGGCCAAGATCCATCTAACATTGGTTATCATGTCCCTAATGCCATGACCTCTTCTAAACCCAGCTTGCACATGTGGCTGCATAAGTTTAAGCTGCTCTGAAGGAGCTGGCAAAAAACAAGGTCCCAGGAATTGATGGCATACCAACTGACATTTCAACAAGATGCTGCCCTGGACATGCTCACCAGGCTGTGCCAAGAAATCTGGAGGACAACTCCCTGGCCAACTGAAAGGGAGCGATCTACATTTATTCCTATTCCAAAAACAGGTGACCCGACAGACTGTAAAAATTTTCAAATAATATTGATAATATCACACACAAACAAGCACAATCATGCTGAAGATTATCCA